TAATAAACACCTTTATAAAGTCTTACTTACTTATCAAATTTACAATACTATAAAATGTTACTTAAAAGGAGGTAAGGGTAGATGCTGAAGATATTAATTTTTAACATCATTCATTTACAAAACATTTATAGTAGAGAAAATAAAAAATATTAATTAGAATTTATTTACCATAAATATCTAAAGCTAGATAATAGGATGTTATTTGTTTGACCAAATTACCGAATTTTTTTGAAATAATATTAATTCCTCTTTATTTTTAACTTTAAACAAACTTTTCTTTACATTAATCACACCTATTAACAATAATTATTTCAAATTATAGAGTAATTTGCAAATTTCAATATTAAATAGTTTATTAGAATATAATTGTTCTAAAACTTATGATTATTCTAGTTATAATTTTTCAGAGTGCTAAAAGTCAACTTCAAAGGGAAATCAATTATTGTCTATTTGTTGAAATTCAGCTGGATAATATTATATAATATTTTAAATTGATTCTCTTGGATATGCATCTATTTATAAATTAAACTTACTTGCATAACAGTTTAAAATATTAATTTTGGGAATGACTTATTGTATAAATATATTAAATTATCTTGATAATATTTATTGAATATCCACAATGAATATTTTATCTAGATAGTAGAATATTAATATGAAGAGTTTTCTGCTTTCACTTCATATTAGACTAATATTATTGATAATTCCTAATAAAGTATTTTTGTGCTTATTTTCGATTCATATTACTAACTTTATTATTCAATAATGATTTTGGGTGAAAATTAGTATTTTTTTTAAAAAGATAGATCTAGATTATTATTAAGAAGTTTTTAATTATAATTTTTAATTTTTGTTCTTATAAATTACTAAATTCAATCAACAAAGATCTAAACTTTGACTTATAATCAGTTTTATTAATCAAACAAATTGGATAGTAATTTTTATAAAAAACCTAGAAAAATAAAGTTTAAGTTTTCATAATATAATTGGCACAATCCCACCTTATGGTAAATGAAACTTTGTTAATTTATTCATATTAATATAAGTTATATATTGCAAGTTTTGGATGAAAATTAATAAAGCATTTAAGAATGGAACCATTAATACTTTTAAAAATAATTCTATTATTTATTATTAGTTTAAAAATATAACAAAACTTGTGTATTTAGCTCTAAATATAGCATTACATGTATATTTAGAAATAAATAAGCATAAATTAATGTAAAATTGAATTGCTATAATGATTTTTCAAGAGGAGAATTTAAATTTTCATATTAATTAACTAATTTGGAAAACAAAGTAACACTAGTATTATACTCTGCTTTCTATTATTATCATTCTTTTAATAAGTTTTTATTTTTTGGTAAAATAGAAAACCAAAAATATGAATTAACTTATTAGTGAAATAGAATTATGAATTTATTATCAAAATATTGTATGAAATTTATATTTAGTATTGTTATAAATTTTAGAATAAAATAAATGATATTTAATGTGTGAACTAATTTAATAATTCAATTTTAAAAGATCGTTATCTAAGAGCATGAATTCTGTATTCTTTACTTAATATAATTAGTTCCATATCAATTTTAAGCTTTTGTTGACTAATCTTGTTATTATTATAATTAATTCTTTAGAATTGTAATTCAGTCGATTGTTTAAATTATTTTCCTTTTTAATTATATATAAATTGAATACTTTATTTTTAAGTCATATCGATAGCCAAATAAAAAGAAAAAGGTTTATAAGTCTAATAAAAAACTTTCTTATTTAAGATTTTTGCCTAATTTTTTATTGTGATAACAACAATTGTTAATATTTCATAAAAATCAAAGAGAGTATATTAATTTTATTTTAAAGTTTTTTACTAATATATCTTTCATTTTTATATTGAGAATAAAATTATAATATTTTTGATAAAATGTAACCCTATTATTTTCATTATTGAATGAGTGCTCATTTATGATATCTACAATTAAAATTCAAATCTAAGAAATACTAAATTTATTGTATTTTTAATTACTCATTAACAATCTTAACTAATTTAATTAAAAGTTCAAACCTTTTAATTATTTTTGGCAATTTATAACCTTTTAATAGTTGAATTAATTCTTATTTAACATATATTTTAGTATATTAACTATCAACTTCTTTTAAAATTTCAATATTCTACCCCTAAGAACTTGTTTATTTTACAAATAAATTTTATAATTCCTTCTCTTTTAGGAATAATGCATAGATCAAAATTTATCTCTTTAAATACTCGATGAGAGGTATTTGAACTGATTTATTAAATAAGTTATGAACAAATAAAAATTCTAAAAAAAAATCAATCCAAATAATTAAAACCATTTTAGTTTTTTTGCAATTAGCAACAGAGAGCTTATTTATATAAAAAAATATAATTAATGGCATATCTTAATCTTTTCTTTAATCAACTTTGTAATAAGAATTAATGGATTCTTAATAAGTTTAAAGCAAGATGGTTGATTTCTTAAAAATGCCTGATAATACATAAAGAAAAGTTTTGGGTAATTTATTATTCTAAAGGATCTTTTTTATTGTTAAGGAAAAGAATCTTCAAAAAAGCTTATTGGTAAAATATAAATCATTCTTGTAGAAATATTGATTGACCCAACTTAATTTTAAATTGGAGATATCTAATATGATGATAGATGATGATAATGAGCTTTAATCCTTAATTGATGAGTGCCTTTAGCTGATTTCAAATTCAAATAAAAGAAGTTGAATTATGCCTTAATAAAAATTATAGAATATATTATAATGATTATAGAGAGGAATAATATTTTTAATCTATTTAAAAAAATATTTTTATTTGTTTTGTCTCTAACTTTGTTAATAATTAAAATTTGTAAGATTTTAAAGAGAACTACTAAAAACTATTTCAATTATTCTATATTTAATTGTTTCAAATTCTGAAAAAATGTAAGTACGAATAAAGTAATAGAAACCATTAATTAGCTTTCCCTTAAAATATCAACTTTCTTAATTATAAAGTATTTTTAGTTGATAAGCAAATTGCATAACCTTTTTCAGATAAAATCAAAAAATTATTGATTAATCTAGTCAATTTTTTTACTTTTAATACACTTGAATTTAATTACTGCTTTATTCTAAATTGATTGAAAATAGAATCTATCTATTTCAATATTATTATTGAGAGACATTAAAGAATCTTTAAATGATATATATTTTTCTAAAGTATTAGTGATTTATTA